TGTTATGCTGAATCATTTGTGCAGTGAATAATCGACTCGCAGTTTTGCGCTGGCGATGCCACAAGGGGCCACTGATCGCAAAGACTCCTTGGCCAAGCACATCGGCCGCAGCCTCCACAAAGAGCGGATTCTTGCCAAATGCGTCATATTGCGTCTTCTGGACGTCCTCGAAAGCTTCAGGTGTGCACACAAACACAGTCGGGGCCTTACCGAGGATATGCATACACCAGGGCTTGCCATTGTATTTACGACAGTTGCTCAGAGCCCAATCGTGGAAGCGCCCAGACAGCTGAACGCGTGCCACAAGTAGCGTATTACCCAAGATCGGGAGGTATCCAGGAGGCTTGGGCAAATGCATCACCGCCCGAGCTTGAACCGAAGGAATCGCTAGATACCCTAGGATAAATGCCAGACACACTACAGCAACAAGCGTAGGCCAAGGCCATAGTTCCTCCACATTACTAAACATCCTTTCTCTAGTACACAGTAAACCACCAATGCCTTCGGGCAAGCAAGTCACTTTTTGTTGTTCACTCAACTGAGCTATCTGCAACCATCAGGCAGTTAAGAGTCGACGAGACCGTTAGATCCCAATGTCAATTTTTGAGAAAATAAACTTCTCTTCTCTGAGTTTCTCAGTTGCTTGGGCTGTTCCCATGACGAACGAAGCGTGACATTTTCTATTTTGCTTTAAACCATGAGTCATCAACCTTGGCGTCCACCTCTAAAGCCACAGAGAGTGGTTTCTGGAATGGATTCTCCATAAGATGCACCACAAGTTTCATCGCTTCATCTACAGATTCTTCAGGACCTTCGACGATAATTTCATCGTGAATCTGGGACACCATCTCCCACCCAAGTTCGCGTAACCTCGGGTTCTGATGCACTTGAAGCATGGCCTGCATAACGACGTCGGCAGCTGCGCCTTGGATAGGAGTGTTAATAGCAGCGCGCTCAGCATGGCCTCTAGCCTTCTTTGATGCCATACTATCGTCCTTCAGCATAGCGTCCGGAAGTCGACGATACCTTCCAAGTAGTGTACGAGTGTAGCCATACGTTCTCGCAGTCTCGATGGCTTTCTTTTGCCACTCCCGTACCTCTCCTCGGTCAGAATACCATTTTTCCAGAGTATCCGCTGCTTCTTTACGAGATACATTGAAGTCTTTTGCCAGACCAAACGCAGTCTTGCCGTAAGCAATCGAGAAGTTGAGCACCTTGGCATTTTTACGCTCATCGCCGTACTTGTCCTTTAGAAGCGGAGCAGGAGGTTCCTTGCCAGTGGTATGATCCCATTCCAACAGCGCTTCGCCATTCTCCACGGCTTTCGCCACATACGGATACATTCCCATGGCTGTACGGGAGTGGAAGTCACCACCAGCCTTGAACGCCTCGATCATTGCTTTACACTGTGTAATGTGAGCCATAAGCCGTAACTCCAGCTGCGAGTAATCGGCTACGATGAGCTTCTTGCCCGGTGGAGCTGTGAAAGCATCTCGAATCTTGTAGCGATCTTTACCCATTGCAGGTTGGTTCTGTAAGTTGGGTTTTCGCGATGACAAGCGACCTGTGTCTGTGTTGAGATTCAACGAGCAGTGTACACGGCTATTGCTGTCTGCCAGCTCCTGGAGAGGTAGAATGAAGTTGTTGAGCATGGTGTTGATACTGCTGATGTCGAACAGCGCCTTCAAAGCTACACAAGCGGCGGCTCCTTCCTCTTTGTCCTCAAAATGGCCATACGCGCGCCCGTATTGAGGAGGATCTGTTTCAGGCTGTAATATACATATCATAATTAGTATCTTACGGGCATTTAGCATTCCCAATGAACAACTTACATTGCCTGCGAGTTCCTTCAAGACTTCAGCACTGGCTGCGGGGAGTCCGCTAGCTGTAAAGTGCGTAGGTGGAATCCCCAACCCTCGAATGATAATATTGCGCTTCTTCTTCGCCTTCTGCTTGCCCTCTTCAATAAACCCTTCCGTGTTCTCCACTTCAAACAAACGCTCAGCAGGCAGCACCTGCTTGTTCTTCTTCTCATTAAAGTACGGCGCAAACAGCAACTGCTGCTTCTGTGCAGCGCTGTATAAATTAATACGCTCGCTCTCCTCACAATACCTAGACGCCCACAGCAGTACAAGCTTTTCCAGCCGCGCTCTGTCCTCCAACGCCTGCTTCTCGACACCCGCGAGATACTCCAGATCCACGTGCATGCCCTTCCGTTCAATATCCGTGAGGCACTCTCCGAACGGGACAATATACTGACGATAGAAATCGTACATGGATCCGACCTGGGACTCGTCCCCATTCGGCTTCTCGAACCAAAATGTCTGGTCCAATTTATCCTGCAGCACACGGTGCAAGAACCACGTGCTCTCTGCATCGTAGACACTGTATCTAATCCAGCGTTTCCTAAATTCGGGAAACCTCTGTAGCTCCTCAACTGTAGGCATGATCCTCTCTTTGCCCTTGGACCCGTCCTTCTTGAGCTTGGGGATGCCAAATAATTCTTTCATTGGCTTCTTTCTCTGCAGTAATAAGTCTGCAGTTAGGGACTCTAAAGAATAGCCTCCATTCTGGAATCTAGCCGTGTTCCAGAGTCTAGCCATGTGCATCGTGTCTCCTCCTAGTCCTTGGACGTTGATGCCGTGGTTATACAGCACATGGCGGTCGAAACTGTAGTTATGCCACACTTTAAGGTAGTTTTTACTTTCCAAAAACTCTTTAAAGTATTGCAATGTGCCTTCAGCGCTGTCCAGATTGTCCACCCAGACATAAGGACCGTTGCCGTAGTCCACATCAGGTCCACTGTAAAGCGAAAGACACGTAACCACGCCATTACCTACAGGTCCCACTGCCTTGACGTCAATCTGTGCCACTTCTGTGTCACACGCGTGAAAATGATTGGGTCCCAACTCCTCGATCTTTTGCAGTATGCGTCGTGCGCTTTCCTCGTCCTGAATGAGGTTCACGGGTCGGGTGTCGTCGTCTGCGGAGGTTAAACCCTGCAGCAAACGGCGGTCGATCGTGTCGGACGTGACGTACTGAAGCTGGCGACGAGGTGAGGGAGTGAACGCAGTCGTAGTCGACAGATAGCGCAGCGATAACGAGCCGCGTAGACGCCACGACGAGCGCAGCATTGGTGACGGATGGATTGGAAAAGTTGTTTTCGGATTGAACTTTTTCTTGGACTGAGTATGCACTAATTTCGTGTTGCAAGAATGATGGTCAGCGGCATGCTTTTCATTTTTTTTTTTTTTTTTTGATTAGAAACCAACGAAAAAAATGCAGCTTTATCATGGCTACATTGACATTGTTTAGAGACGAAAACTACAATACGCGTGAGCTGCTCAAATGTTGACTCGAGACACGGCGACGTCGAGTGGGCCCTTAATCTGCAGCGTGAGCGACGAGCGATAGGTGAAGTCGAATGGATCTTTCAACGTCTTGAAGTTGAACTGACTCAAGAGCTTAGCGAGTGTGATCTTTACCTCCGCCAGCGCAAACTTCATACCCAGGCATATGCGCGGCCCACCAAGGAACACACTGAACTTGAACGGCGACACCATCTTGATTTTCCCTGAAATGGGGTCAATCCAACGCTCCGGCTTGAACTCATCGACGTCTGGCCCCCATACTGTCGAAATGCGGCCCATACAGTAGTGAGGCATGATCATTCGCGTCCCTGCTTTGATCAATGTGCCTTCGTAGAGACGTACATCTCTCGTCGCGGAGCGTCCAGACACAGCAACAACAGGGAAAAGTCTCAGTGTTTCTCGGACAACTGCCTCCAGGTAGACAAGTTGCTGGATATCTTCCATTTTTGGAGAGCGCATTTTGCCACTCGCGAAGTTAGGAAGCTTGTCTCTGATCTCTTGTCGGATACGTTCTAGAACCTCCGGATATCTGTTTAGCAACAAGATGACCCACGACATGGTCGTTGCTGTCGTCTCCCGTCCAGCGACTAGGAAGCTGATGACGAAATCGCGCATCAACTTGAGGTCCTTTGTGGTGTGAACACCCTTGGTGTACTCGATCTCGGATTTCTCAATAAAAAGAGCGATGAGGTCTTTTCGACTGTTTTCTTTTACTCCCTGACGGTTTTTCTCCTCAATTGAGCGAGAGATCACGCCATAGACTAGATCGTTCACCACTTTGACGTCTTCAGCCAACTGTTTTTCGGCGCCAACGTTCAGCCAGCGTAGCAACTTCCAAACCCACATCGGCTGCTGGATCCGCTCCAACATCCGCAAAGACATTCGCTCGAACGCATCGAGCAGCTCTGCGTTTTCGTCAGACTCGACGCCATTGAGATCTACATCAAACCCGACCTTGGCAAAGATGTCCATGGTGTACAAATCTAAGAGTCGCTTCATGTTCACAACTCTCTCGGATTCTTTCTCCGTCAGACAAATGCCGTTAAGTCGTTTCGCCAGTTCTTCGCCCTTATCAGGCACAACTACTTCCATTGCGTACTGCATCATTTGAGCTGTGAACAAGTGACTCGCAGTCTTGCGCTGGTGCTGCCACAGTGGCCCACTGATAGCAAAAATGCCTTGACCCAGCACATCGTACAAGGCTTCCGAGACAAACGGACTCTTGTCGAATGCGTCAAACTGTGTCTTTTGAATGTCCTCGAAAGCTTCAGAGCTACAGACTACGATCGATGGGTACTTTCCCACGCTCCGAAGACACCATGGCTTGCCCTTGTACTTGTGGCAGTACTTCAGAACCCAGTCGAGGGATTTCCCTGATTTCTGCGCCTTGATGATCTCCAAAGTGTGGCGCAGGATTGGATAGTCTCCTTCTGGCGTTGGTAGATGCTTCACAGCTCGATCGTGTGCAGATGGTATCGCCAGGTACACGAGTAGCACGGTCACGGAGGACACGGCAATCGAAGTTAACGACATCCACGTAATAGCCTCCACCTTCATCCCACTTTTTTCTTAAAAAAAAAAGCCTTAATGGGATCGGGATGGTTTCAGCCTGTGCGAACCCATCCCGTAATCGCCGATTGTGGGAGGACTCATGTACTGTAAAACTGTAAGACTGACATGACTGGTTGACAATACCAGATATAGCAATATATCGTGTTATTCAGGTCGCCTCGAGCTGTTGCTACGTTCAAAAGCAAATATAAGTGAGGCGAGGATGTTGGCATAGAGATGCGGAAAATGGACGTGCCCTCCACAGTGCGTACTCACGTCCGACTCCAGAGGAGCATGCGCAACTCAAATTGAAACTATCGATATCGGTACAAGTATGTAAGTCTCATTATA